GAACATGTTTTGTGCAGACATCAGTATATTAGCTGGTAAATCTGTGATCAATTGGATATAAAGTTTTTGTTTTTTAAATAACTGTTTGGCTGTGTTCTTCTTCAGGAGCATGAAGTACTGTAAATATAGTGTTTTTTTTTATTTTTGAAATTAATAAACATACATGGTTTTTGTGAATGCAATGCCCTGATGTAAAACAACTGATCAATGCATAAATAAAATAACCTGCTAATTGATGTTTTGAGATGTTGGTTCAATATTTCAACATGGTGTTCTTTCTCCATGATGCCATCACCTTTATGTAGCGCAGTCTGTCCTGCAGCAAAATGCTGCCAAACTAAGGGTGCCGGTTCATTGTAATTCAATATATTCACAATACATGTTTATTTATTTTAACTTTGCATTTTTACAGAAGTTAAAACAGGAACCAAAATGCAAACAACCATCAGAAAACAGACAAAAAATCTAAATGAAGTAAAAAAAAAAATCCAATGTTCTTTAGATTGTATTTTCTCAGTGACCTATACATTTTCCCAATTAGCAGTATTTTTTGATTTTTAGAATCATGTACTTTGATATTAATTGATAACAGCCTGCTTAAGGTCTTTTAAACAGTTTTTTTCCACCATTTCTTTCAAGAAACATTTTTTGTATATGTGAACAGGTTACATGATATATGTTTGACAAATACATTTTGTAAATTTAATCAGTTTTAAAAGATAATCAGTTTATGGATATTGTTTATGACATTTTTTTGTGTTTAGTTTTGGTTACTGTTTTTCTGTCACTTCCATGAGAAATTAGGATCTTATTTGGACTTTGGGTACGATGCATGTGGATGCTTTTGCTTTAGATTTACATCCTTTTTCTTAAGTCATACTATATTGAAAAGGTTACAATTGCATTAAATCAATGATGTTTTTTTATTGTGTTGTAGATCAGAAATGTCCTCACATCTCGTGGGGGAAATTCATTACAAATATTGATTTTCACTGAAAAAAAATGAACTGATTTATGTTTTCAAATTATTTTGTATTTTCTGTTGACTTTTTTTCTGAGTTCAGGGAGAGTTATATACAATGTTGAGGGCTGTACAATGGAGCAGTGGGTAGCACTGCTGCCTTGCAGCCAGAAGTTTCCCGTTTCGATTCCTGGACCACATCTTCCCACTCTAGGTTCCTGGGCAAGACCCTTTACCCCACACTGCTCCCTAGGTGTCGCACAATGGCAGTCCACTGCTCTCCAAGAGAGAGATTCGAGAGTAGAGAGTTACTTTCATTACTCTGTACTTGTGACAGTGTAATGATGATAAGAAAGCTGAATGATTGCTTGTGTCTGTGTTCCCCTGCCATTGACTCCTGGACAATGGGCACCATCACCCCTCGCGACCCCAGCAGAGATAACATTACGGAAAATGGATAGATGGATACAATTGTGAATCAAGCGAATTCAATCAGAATTGAGGAAACAATAGAGATGCAAAAAATCTTCCTAGCAAGTTATTATTTTTTTATTTTAATTACAATGTCACAAGCACAGTGCAACAAAATTCACTCTCTGCATGCAACCCATCCCCTTGGGGAGCAGTGGGCTGCCCTTTGCAGCCCCCGGGGAGCAGTGTGGGGTTAAGGTTAAGTGTGTGAGAGACTGAGAATCCATAAATCATAATATATGATTTTTTAACAATTTATTAGTATAACGCAGCTGCAAATAAGTATTTAAAAACCTGTCTATCAGCTAGACTTCTGACCATCAAAGACCTTTTAGTCTGCCTTAAAAATGTCCACTCCATTTATTATCCTAAATTAGATGCCCCACTTTGAGGTCATTGGCTACATAAAGGCACCTGTCCACCCCATAAAATCAGTAAGAATCCAACCACTAATAAAATTGTACAACCCCACAAGACTGGAAAGGGCTACAGGGAAATTTCCAAGCAGCCTGATGAAAAAGGGTCCACTGTTGGAGCAATCATTAGAAAATTAAAAAGCTAAACATGACTGCCAATCCCTGTCAGACTGGTTCCATCATGGACAGGTTCTCTCAACCTGTGTTATCCAACTGGACTTCCATCTTCCAGGTCCATGAGTGAAACTCTATCAGCTCATGCAGTCCACTGGATCTCCCCATAAAGCTCAGCATATCGTCTCATTAACCAGCAGTTTACAGACTGACCAACTTCATCTATCTCCACTCCACCACCAGTTTCAGCCCTATTCTTTGCTCCTGGTCATGCATATCTATCAAAATTAAGCGCTATGTTTCCTGCCGAAGTCTGAGTGCGAAAGACAAAGTAAATGTATCAACAAATTTCTCCTAATTGTCTTTTCTCCTTATGTTGTATCAATACATTTCTCCTAATTGTCTTTTCTCTTCGTGTGAGTTTTTCAGATTGAAATGAAATCCAGTCTAGCCATGTGACAAATGAATCAAGATAAGACGAGTTTATTTTTTTGTACAGGAGTAGAACTAACAAATACAACACACCTTAACATTTACTAGCATAATACATTTCAAAAATGCATAAAGAAAAGGTGTTCAGAAGGTATGATGAGGAAAAAAAGTTAAATTAGGTTGCAGTAGGTTGTACATTAACTTGGTTACTTATTATTACTTATTAATTTATATTCTTGACTTATGATTTTGTTCCTGTCTGGATTACTGCAGTAGACTCTATGTTGGAGTGGATCAGTCTCTACTCTTTCATCTACAGCTGGTTCCAAATGCTGCTGCATGTCTTTTAACAGGTATTAATATAAACAGAACAGAGCATACGACCCCTGTTCTGACCTTACTCCATTGGCTCTCTGTGCATTTAGCCGTCATTCCAAAAATTCTTATTTTTGTTTTTAAGTGTTTGAATGACATTGCAATCACACTGCCTCTCCAAGCTTCTTCATCCCTATTTATGCTCTCAGATCAGCTGACCAGCAGCTCCTGCTGGTACAGAAGGAGCAGGGCCTTTTCTGTTGTTTCTCTTCAATTATAAAAAGCTTCCACCAAGCATGAGTGATGCCTATTCACTGTCTACAATAAAAACCTGGCTTAAAACCCGTTATTATTCTTTGGCTTTCTAAACTGGCAGGGTATTTTTATTTTTTTTACCTTGTTTCTACCTTGTTTGTTTTAAATTGCTTTTATTGTCTCTGTTAAGTGTTTTGTTTTGATGTATTATCTTGTGTTTTTTAGACTGTTTTTTTTCTCATAGTCTGTACCTTTGTACAGTAAATTGAAGCTATTTATAGCACATTGTTTTAGCTAGCAGCGGTTTTTAGGCAGTTTATAAATAAACATGGGAAGATATGGTATGTTATGTACATGAGCGCATGCTGGACTACACGTATATTTATTCAGTGCATTATTGTATTCTATTTTCGGTGGTAATATACTTTTCTATAACAATCGTTGCTCAATAAATGGAATATTCATTTCAATGAAGTTGATTTTGTACATACTACGGTTAACAATAATAGTACATTTTATTCAAAGCCCCTTTTGGGACACATAAGGACACTATACAACAAACAATTAACAATAAAAATTATTAACATTACAGGGGAGGCAGTGAGTGGAAGTATGCAGTCTTCAACAGATTCATTTTTAGTCTGGATTTAAATAGAGATAAAGTGTAAATATTAAGAGTATCAAGAGGGAGTGAATTCCAGACTTAGGGAGCAGAGCAGAGCAAAGCAACAAGGTGGATGGAGGATCTAAGGGTACAGGTAGGGGAAGCAATCTGAAGGAGATCTGAGAGGTATGGGGAGCAAGATTATGGATTACGTTGAATGTGAAAAGGAGGATTTTGAACGGACTTTTAAAGTTGACAGGGAGCCATGAAGGTCCTCTGGGACTGTATGCTGGTGAAGATTTTCAGTCACTCTGGTCATAGTCATACCTAGAAAGTAAAAAAACAATCCACTGGACTTTGCTTCCAAGTTTAAAGATCAGAGCATTACTCACTGCATTGAACTGCATACATCAGAGCATTCATAAAGTGCATGGACGTTTTCCCATGAAGTCCTCAGTGAGGGGTAAATGAATGACACTTCAGTCATGACGCATATAACCCTCCTGCTGCATAATTTTTCCTGGTATACATTTGTGTTCCTATTTTAAGCTTAAAGCCAGAAATTGCAGAGACGTTCTGGTCAGTCTTGACTCCAGTCCATCTCTGTCTAAAAAACATTGTTTTTTCCACCATATTAATACATAAAATAAATAATTTCTGGGAAGAGAGCTGTAGATTTAATAGGACAAATAACTGAATTAAAAAGAGGCAAGTTAGGGGTACAGGGTGCACACAGACACCTGATCGCTGGTTCTGGATAAAAACCTGCTCTAACCTAGAATTATTTCTGAGACATTTTTGCACAGCCTCCAATTGTTTTTTTTCCAGCGTTTTATTGTCATTGCACTGTCACAAGTACAGAGCAATGAAATTAACTCTCTCCATTTAGCCCATCCCCTTGAGGAGCAGTGGGCTGCCATTGTGCGTCACCCGGGGAGCAGTGTGAGGTTAAGGGTCTTTGCTCAGAGACTCAGAGTGGTAGTCTGTGGGAGTGGGGCTTGAACTCCCCCCTAACCACTAGGCTGCCACTTTGGGCCCTGTCTTTAGGTATCAATTGATTTTTGCCTAAGTATCAGTAGCTTGCGTTGTTTTTCTCCTTTAACCTGGTTATCTATTTATAATAGCGTCATAAAATAAACAAAGGAGTATCAGACAAAAACATAATTGTCATAACCGGAAATATTTTGATAACTCCAAATTTGTATAGTTCTTTCCATGGCTCTGAGCCTAAATATCTCGCGAGATTGTGGGTTGAACTTGTAGTTAGGTGCGCGCTGCGCTCCTCCAGCCGCTCAGAGCTCAGCCTCCACTGTGCGTCTCTGGACAGATGGCTACAGATGTATGAGACCAGGATCCATATTCCTATTTCTGTCACACTGATGGGATTCCTCTTACTCAGCATGCGTCCTCTATGGAACCTCCGGATTTTTAAAGGAAACTTTTCCACAGTTTATTTTCATTTTCGCTCCAGAAAGGCTTGGGTAAGGAAAATAGTTTTTTTTTTTATCAAAACAAGCAAATCAGCATGAGATAACATAGATATGCAAACACAGACGCAAAAATATGCATATTAATATAAATTATATATTATGTAGTTTTCATCAGCGTTTCCTTTAAGATGCATACTGTAGGTTTCCGCATCTATCGTGAGAAAAAAACTTTGCGTTAGGCTACTACTGACAGCTGCCCCTCAAAGCCTCAAACAAACAAACATGGGCTGTTTCTGCATCATTCCTTCTCTGTTTGTATCCTCATGGGACCAAGAGGCCCTGATTATGCAGTTTATATGCGAGTTTCCTGAGTTGCATAATGTTCTTTTTGCTGTTCTTGTTTTAACATGATGGATGGGGGGATAATCTATTTTATTTTCTGGTTTTAAATTCTGTAAGAAAATTAAGACAAGTGTAAAGATTTAAAGTCAGTGGGAGCTGTGTTGTTGATGAAGTAAGCTTAGCTTTTGTAAAAATGTTGAGAACAAATATTCTAAGTAAAATTTACTCCCCAAAAGTTTTTCTTTTTTTAAGATTTTAGTGAAAAAATTGTTATCATATAAAAATAGGTGAAATGTCACAGACTTTTACAGCACCAAGGACCTAACTAAGAAGATTAAATAATCCTATAATGCTGGAAGAAAACAAAGGGGGGTTTCTTATAGCTTAAAACCTAATTAGATTTTTATAAATCTTTTTCTACCGTCATACAGCTGTTGTACCTCTCTGGTATACAGATATATTGCATATCAAAGCTTTTCATCTGTTATGTAGATGGCATTGCTCATTGGAAGAAGATGTGGAGGACTGCCTCACAACAGTTTTTCACGGTTATTGAGCTCAAACAGGCTTCCAAAAGGTACGTGAAGAGCACAATGTGCCATCTTATGCTTCACACAACAATAAATCCAACTGATGACTAGACCCAGTGACCCAAATTTTCTTGGCCAGTGTAGCCAGTGTGATTATTTCCTCGTTTAATTTGTTCTGTCAGGTTAAGACATTTATTTCCAAAAGAATAGTGAACTGGCAGCAGAACACTCATTGAAAGAGACCTCATTATCAAAGGGATTTTGAAATATGCTTTGAAGTCTGCTTTTCTACAATTCATGTTTGGCTGTTAATATATAGATACAAGAAAGAGGGATCAAATTTCACTTCGAAGCCAAAAACAGGAAGGAAATGATGGCAGAGGTGAAAAAGGAGGAGGTAAAAAGGAATCCCAGTGGTGGACACGTTTTAAGGTATAAATCCTTTTATCCATGTTTTACACAGCTTAACATGAAAAAATAAATACCTTTTAAACTGTAGTATAAATTTATGAGAAAATATCCATGAAAGTATATGATATTTTCTCATTTAAGTAGTCAAAATCTAGTAAATATCTTTAAGATAAGGATGCTATTTAATTGTGGAGTTTGTAAATCTGAAGAAAAAATAAAACACTGAAAGGCAGAGAGAGTTTCAGCTAGCATGCAGGTTCATGCATGCATTTTTTTTTAACAGAAGGTTAAAATAAAGTATCTAGAAGCAACGCAATTTTATTTTGAAACCTATAATAATATTGGTTAAAAATAATCGCAACTTTGATTTTTTGCCCAAATCATTCAACCCTTTTATTTAGTATGCAAAGATAAATGAAACATACCATTACCATTGAAAACATACAAAGCCTTTATTTCTTGTTACCATACATATTTATATAAAAGGAAAGATGGAAAAGATATTTACTCATAGGAAAATTATCATTGAGGCTAAGAATGAGAAATTATTGATGTTTTTAGGTTTTAATAAAATGCACCTATACCTTTCGGGTTTCCTTAGGTTTCCTTTGTAACAATCCATATTAGCAGTGATAAGCTGACTTGTTTTCATTTCGACATTTCCCAATCCTCTAGAAAGATTTTCCCTTAGATGAAAGGACTGTGCAGAACATTGCACTAGGTGCAGCAGGTATGACCACAGCGTTTCTATACTTCCACTTCAGGGAGACCGGAGTCCAGATCTCCTGGATGGATTTTGTGCATCGGTTCTTGAGCAAAGGCTTGGTGAGATTAGTTTGTTTTCAGTTTCTTTCTCATTTAATCCTTTTTCGTTGTTAGTGTAAACAGATCATGTTGTCCACACAGGTTGGGCGCGTAGAGGTAGTCAATAAACAGTATGTCAAAGTGTTTCCTGCTGATGGAGTGAACTCATCAGAAGTGGTCAGTAGGAAAAGATACGGCTGTGTCCTGCTTCTTCTCAGAGAAGGGCTGCATCTTAATTCTTTCCTTGTTTTTGTGTTTTAGAATTATTTGTGGTTCAACATTGGTAGTGTGGCTTCATTTGAACATAAGCTGGACATGGTTCAGGAGGAAATGGGTCTGGACTCCACACAAAAAATACCTGTACTCTACACCAGTGAAAGTGACGGGTTGGATTCATTTAAATACTAAAGCTGCATTTTGATTACATTTTGTTTATGTTCTAGTATCATCCTACTTTTCTTCATCCACAGGTCAATGGTTTTAAGTGTCCTCCCAACTTTATTCCTGGTTGGCTTCTTACTTTTTGCAACCCGACAAGGGCCCATGGCAGGAGCACATGGCAGCAGTTTAAAAGGAAATCCATTTGGGATGAATGCATCAAAAGTTAAGATAGTTAAAGAAACTGGAACTGTTCGCTTTAAGGATGTAGCAGGCTGTGAAGAGGCCAAACTAGAGATCTTGGAGTTAGTAAACTTTCTTAAGAACCCAGATCAGTACCATGACTTGGGAGCTAAGATCCCAAAGGTAGGTCTGGCTATATTTTCATATTAAGTGCATCCAAGATTTTTTGCTTGCATAATAAGTTTGATACATTTCCATTTCACCTTATATCAGAGGTTTCTTATCTTTTCAGGGTGCACTGTTATCAGGAGCCCCTGGAACTGGAAAAACGTTGCTAGCAAAAGCCACTGCAGGGGAGGCCAATGTCCCCTTCATCACAGTCAATGGCTCCGAATTTCAAGAAGTTTTTGTAGGGATGGGCCCTGCAAGAGTGAGTCCTGCTTTATAAAGGAGTGGAATGTGCTTAAAAGTGTCGTCTCCCCATGATACAAACAACTTATGATTTGTTTATTAGATAAGAGATGTGTTTGCCACGGCTCGCAAAATGGCACCCTGCATAGTTTTTATTGATGAGATTGATGCAGTTGGCAGGAAGAGAGGCAGAGAGGGCTTTGGCTGGCAGAACGAGCAGGAAAACACTCTGAACCAACTGCTTGTGGAAATGGATGGTAAACATTTTTAACATGTTATTTTTTTCCCCTCATAATCCTTATATTGCATTTTAAAAGCCCTGCATATTGTTATTGCTGCAGGATTCAACAGCAACACTAACATCGTGGTGTTAGGCGGCACCAATCGAGCTGATATCCTGGATCCGGCTCTTATGAGACCGGGGCGCTTTGATCGACATATTCATTTGGGTAAAGAACAGCAGAACAGACTCTTTTCTGAAGACTCTCATCTCTCCCTGTTGTTTTTTTTCCTGTCTTCCTGTATAATTTCCTGTTCTTATGTAAGTTTTTTTTGGAAAAGTCCATTTTAATTGTACTTTATACAACATTTTCCTGTTTACATATTTTTGTTTTCGGCCTAAATTGCCTGTGTTTTGTGATGAACTGTTGCTACAGTTCACCTGCTCTGAAATGTATTCAGATCTGAGCATACCTTTTTATTTATTTATTTTCTTTATTTTTATTTTTTATTTTTTTACAAGAGATGAGATACTTAGGTTAGATTTCAAAGTTCATTCAATTTGCATCTTCTTTTCTCATCTGGTTCTCTCTAATAGCATTTAAACCCATACGGTGCTGTCTGTGTGCTTTTATGTTTCTGGGGATTGTGGGATGGTTGACATTTTTTGTTCAGAGAATATTTAATTTGCTTGATGCAATCTGTGCAGAGATCTGATCTATTTATGAAAAAAAAAATATAAGAAAACAATGAAAGGGTTAATATATAACTGTTTAGAAAAAGTTTGTTTTTTAATATGTTGTCATATGATTTAAATCAACATTTCCTACGATACAACAATAGGAAGAAAAACCTAATTGTTATACAGAAGAAACAAGAAATGCACTTTTTTAAGATGTATGAAAATCTGAAAAGTGTGTCAGGTTTTTTATATTCAGCCCCCAGACTTTCAGCTTTGTAGAACGACCCTTTGCTGCATTAAATGCTATAAATATGTGTCTACTGGCTTCACACCCCTGGAAGCCAGTTATTCCAGAGTAGATCAAGCTTGATCAGACTGGATTTTGAGCCTCTTTCAATATTAATGTTCTTGCTCAAGAGTCTTTAGACCCACAACTGCAGTAGATTGTGGGCCGGAGGCTACGTTCTTGTATTCATTGTCAATACCTGCTTGTCAGTACACACAGAAACAAACAATTATGCACACACACATTTATAACTTTAGGGGAAATTAGGACCTTCTATTTTGAAAGTCGGACAATGGTGCAATTTGTCATTAGCTGGTGTGCTAGTTTCTGAAACTAATACCGTACATACCAAAAGCAAGGCGTTTCTCTCTAGTTTAACTTTGAAACCACGAGAAATATGTTTGAGTTTGCATCAGATTTAAAACGCCACCATCCTTTGTATCAAATCTATCTATCTGTAACTTCTACATCGTGCATGTGCAGTAGCAATACTGGAGACGGATATTTGACTTTCCCAGAAAGGCATCTTTAGGAAGTGTTTCTGTTTTCATTGCAACTGGAAACTAATTAAATTCAGTTTACAATAACAAGCAGAAGGTGCCTTAAGAGAAAACTCTATATCAATGCTCCATATCTCCCCCCTTTTGATTTTGATGTATTTTGATGTATTTCAGTGACTTCATTGCATCAGCACTTGATCAACAAAACATTTTGGATCTTTGATTTTTATTTTTATATAAATAATGACATTTCTGAAAAATATAGCCATGTCTACAAGAAAGGTTTTAGAAAGGAAAGACTCAGAGCACCTTTGATATAATTTAATATTGGCCAAAGGCCTGAAACAACTTCAATTAGTCTGTTGTATTAAATATCAAGAGAATTGTTTTGGTAGGGTATTTGGAGGGGCTCTTCCCCACAGCTAAAGTGTCCTTTTTTTTGTCAAAGATTCAGAATTGGATTTAGGTCAGGACTTTGAGCGGCAGACTGAAGCTTGAATGGGCTTAAACATGAACCATTCTAGCTCTGCTGGAATCTGAACCTCCATCTCCTCATCTTTAGATCACTTAATTATTTTTTTTATTTATTTATTTATTTTTTTTGTACTCACTTCATCTTGCCATTTATCCCCAATGGCTTCTCTATTTCTGCAGATGTGTTTCCACAGCATGATGCTGCCACTACCGTATGTAAGAGGGGTGGAAGAGAGTTAAAATTTGCCCAGTGTCAGACTGTTTTTTTTTTTTTTTTGTAAAAATATTCAGTTAAACAAGTTGACTCTATTCACTAATGTGGTTACTGTTAAAGAGTTAGAGTAATTGGCACAAAAACAGTTCATGTTTTTATTTACAAACCCTTTTCCATCCTAATGATATTTTTTCATTCTATCAAATTAAATCCTAATAATATCAATTCTGCTGTTGTAATGTGAAAAAATGTGAGAAAGGTTCAATATATTTAAAGTATAACATTTGCCTAGAAGGGTCTTATCTTTCTTTACCTATAACTTAACTAAAATAATGTTACATCTAAGTCATTTATGAAGCTACTTACCATGTTGAATTATGGTCACTTTTGCAATACAGTAATTCAAATGTATTTGTTTACATAAAAGGCTTCATTGTCAGTAGAGGAAAGCAGAGCAAATTGGCTTAATATTGCTTTAATAATGGATCACCAATGTCATACCATGCTTGTTTTTTTCCTTTCCTGCAGGCCTGCCAGATATTAAAGGCAGAGCATCCATTTTCAAAGTGCATCTGAGACCTTTGAAGTTGGGGCCTGGTTTAAATTTAGAAGATTTGTCTAGGAAGCTGGCTTTACAGACCACAGGTCTCAATGGTAAGAATAGAAAGCATCTGCTACTGATGCTATTATCTTAGCTTAAAAAATGGTAAACTGTTTTACTATCAAGCCTGTAATAAATTAGTTAATCCAAACATACAAACATTTTAAAGCATCAGATGACAGTTATATTACTAGGCCCTTTAACTAGTACTTGTGTGTATCAGGGGCTGAAATCGCCAATGTTTGTAATGAAGCTGCACTGAGAGCTGCTCGCCACCTCAGCCAGGACATCAGTGCTCAACACTTTGAACAGGCTGTTGAGAGAGTCATTGGAGGTACGTTAAACAAAAACAAAATGCAATTTTCAAATCGCAGAGGCACTGATTTTTAATCACATCATATTTAACAACAGTACGACACTAATTAAAATTTTTTTTAGAAACTAAACTTTTCTCTCCAGCCCTTCAGGGCCACACAGTAGTGAGAATTGCAGCTAGCATGCAGATCCATGCATGCAAGTAGGAGTAAGCACTTACAATAAAGTCCTGTAAGAATGATCTCTGGGTATGCATGCAAAATTTCATAAACTGTAAGCCTGGTGTAAAACATCTATAAACTTGGAGTAAGTGCAGAAGAAAACAGAAATAAAATCGCAATTTTGGACACAGTTAATCGCAATTTCAATTTTTGGCAAAATCATTCATCCTAGTTTGGACATTTGAGTGCTCAGTTTTATAATAAACTTATATAGCGGTCATGAGAAAAGATACAGAATACCTGACTGCTTGTTTTACTTGCTATATGTGGACATAAAAAAATACAATATCAATTTCAATAAAATAAAAAAATGAATAAAAGAAATTTCAGAAAAACAGACAGAATAGAATTTCAAAATCAGAATTTCTAGTGAGAAATAAAAGACAAACCGCCCAGATTGAACAACGTGGTGATAATAAAATATATTTTTAAGAGTCAACTGAAACATTAATTTATCTAAAGCAAATGATTTTGTCAATTAGAATACACATTGTTGAAAATGCATTTTGTTGAACAAGAAGCAAAAATAAATCATAAAAATTTTATATTTAAAGTACAATTCCTTTATTTTCTAATCAGTGATGGAAGAAAGATTGAATATAAATAGTGTGAACATTTTGTGAGTTGAGTATTTCATGCCTTTAATTTTTCAAAACTATTACTTTCTTGTATTTTTTATAAGAACTATCTCTGGGCTAATTAACTATTATCAACATCAAAATGATCAACATCTAGTTGATAAACAACTAAATGTTAATCATTCTGAAAGCATGTTTCATATCAGAGACCAATTTTGATATGAATTCAAAAATGTAGAGTAAAACATTTTGATAAAAACTACGCATAGATTTGGTGTTTCATGCAAAAATCTGGGAAGATTTTGCTGTCAACTGATTGTGTAAACCAATATTTCTGATTTCAGGTTTGGAGAAAAACGCTCAGCCGATTCAGCTTCTAGAAAAGACAACTGTGGCGTATCACAAGGCAGGTCATGCCGTAGCAGGATGGTTCTTTGAGCATGCAGAACCACTGTTTAAGGTATCCCCTTCAATATGGTTCACCATTTCTCATGAAATAAGATCCTAGTTTCTATGTTTAATTAGGTAGATTTGTACTTTACATTATCATCAGGTATCCATTACCCCTCATGGCAGAGGTCTGGGTTATGCACAGTATCGAGGTAAAGAGGTGCACCTGCTGAGCCAGGATCAGCTGTTTGACAGGATGTGCATGATGTTAGGAGGTCGAGTGGCTGAGCAGGTCTTTTTCAAACAAATCTCTACTGGAGCCCAGGAGGACCTCAGGAAGGTCACACAGACAGCGTATGAGCAAGTAATTACCATTGTGTGTTTATCAGGATAATAACTCAAAAAACAACCAGGATCCCTGCCAAGTTACAAAATAATTTGTAATGTTCTTCTTGCATGTTGGATATTTACTCTAGCAATGATCATTTCTTGTTCAGGTTGTACAGTTTGGAATGAACAAGGCTGTTGGCCTGGTTTCATTTGACCTCCACCTTCAGCCAAATGCTTTCCAAGAGAAGCCCTACAGTGAATCTGCAGCGCAACTCATAGATCAGGAGGTCCGAACACTGGTGGATGTCGCCTTCAAGCGAACATTTCAGCTTGTTGTAGACAAGAAGGAGATGGTTGAAAAGGTGAATTGTTGGCTATTGTTGAGCTGTTGTTAGCTAATTGATTTTTTTTATTGTTATGAAATATTTTTTTTGTTAATCTTAGGTGGCAAAGCGTCTTCTTGAAAAGGAGATGCTGAACATAGTCGACATGGTTGAGCTTCTAGGACCTCGACCCTTTCAGGAGAAGAGCTCATATGAGGAGTTTGGTGAAGAGCTGGACTTTGAAGAGGAAAATTTACTACCTGAAGGACCAAAGGAGAGGCAGAGAAGTGAAGAGAACAATAAAGAAAGCAAATCAGCTCTTTACCTGTAGATAAGGATGTGCAGATTGTTTTGTGCTTCATTCACAAATGAACAGTATCCTGCAAAAATATTTGTATCCATATTTCAACCTCAAGCTTTGTTTTTTAGATTACTCATGTAGTCCAGACAAAATATGAGCTAAATATGAGGTGGAAGAAGAGGGATCCACATGCATTTTGTACAAATCATATGTAAAAATAGGTTGGTGATCATATGCATTCAGCAAAGTCCAAACTTTGTATAACTACCCATAGCACACCTAGAGACAGGTATATTTGCCCTGTGTGCAGGATATCTCAAGCTCAGCCAAGAACACACATATACTGTAGATGGCTAAATTGAAATTGGTTTGACTTTGACCAGGCCATTCCCACACATGAATCTTCCTAGATCTAAACTTTTCCATTTTAATTCTAGTTCCTGGATCCTCCACCCAAACTTCCAGCCTTTGCATCCTCCAACAGTTTTCTTTCCAGGAATGCTCTGCGTTCAGCTTTTATTTTGGTTGATTTTTTGCTGGAAATTTGTCCTTGAAATACCAAATTTTAAAATATTTCTTTCAATTAGTTGTTCCATTATGTTTATAAAACTCCAGAATGTACGTTTTCTGCATGTTTTAAATCAATAACTGTTTTAGATTATGTTTTTTTAATTCATGCATGGAGATTATTTCTTATTAACTAACTTAATGTTTCTCAGTGACATTAATCCAATATTAATATTTCTGTCAAGGTGCAGAATTGATATGTTAAAAAAAGTGTTTCAATTTGTTATTACATCAGTCAAAATGACACTTTTTTGTAATATTTCTAAATCTGATGACATGTACAAAGGGTAGGACAAACATACTGATTTGTTTTGTATGAGGCTACTGAGGCTAGCACACCTTTTTATGTCTCTGTGGAGCAGTATTGATAATTGCAGGGTTAGTTTTTAATATTCCTAAAAAGTTTGAATGCATTATTGCAAATATCCTTATGATCTAAACAATTTTAATTCACTTTGTGAGTGAATCTGTTGCAGAAACCTTATAAACTTTAAATCGTCTGAGCATCATTACTGAGTTAATAAATGTAACTTCAACAAGTATAGCATACAGAATAAAAAACAGACAAGAAAACATACAAGGAGCCATACTTTATTGAATCTTCAACCATCCTAAAGCTTCACCTTATCCAGTGTGTCACGGCATTCTGAATTATTAACACTCCTTCTAAAAGGAGCCCATACATTTTACAAACTAAGCGTTATGTTACCCATTCACAGGCAGTAAAGAATTAACTGTATCATAAAAAAAAAAATGTTGGCACTTTCTAACCAGGTATTTGTTGTTTTGCTTCTTTTGGCATCCACACAAATCAGGCTGAAATTTGCCATGGATTTATTTTAATTTCAAGTAATCACTGTCACGGGCGTCTGCATACTGCAGCTGTAGCAGCCCAAAAATTTGTGTTTTGGCTGGTGGTGGTGGGGTGTCTTAAAAAAGGTAAAGAAAATGTGAGTATGGAAAGAATTATTGCATGTTACTGCTTGGTGTCTTTGTTGTTGCAACGAACAACAATCCTGCAGGGGGCGCCTAGGTGTACAATTTAGAGAGAGAAGTGCAACTGTTTTTCATTCAGGCATTTTGCATCACAGCACACATTTCACTAAAAGATAGAGATTCACCTCACACATCCTCTGTTAAGGCTACCATTGTTTACTTTAGATGCAGCAAAAAATGCATGATGAATTTATAAGAAACACAGTAAATCTCAGTCAGCATCAGTGGGATGTTTTCATTTTTCTTTTAGCTAATGTCTCAAGGTCTGCCATCACTGTGGCTTTAACCTTTATGGCCAATCTAATTATACTGGCCCACCCTGAGGTGTTGTAAGGAAAAAGGCGCCAATACACTGTTAACCCCATACCCTGTCTGTTTCATCTGGAAGACCAGTGTAGGAAAAAAAACAATCCTTCTCCTATAAAAACATGATGGCTGCAAAGGTTTGCTCGTATTAGTGTGAGAAGAGAGTAGGAACAGTGAGAATATTGCACATCATCATTATCTTTAAAGTAGAGAGCAGAGTTTCCAGAGCTGAGCCTCGACAGATGAGCACTGTTAGACATCGGCTGAGCGTACAGTGGCAGATTGAGACGTCTTGGTGGTTTGGTTTCACCACTGTATCTGTCCCACAGGCTCTGGGCGGTCTCTCTCCTTCTTGTTCCATGTTGGGGTTTACGGGTGCTTTGTCCTCTCTAGCTTCATTAAGGGCTCTGCTGTGTCTGAGTCACTGTGATGCTTTCTCTCACGAGGAAGCTCCACTTTACTGCACCGCGTCCATGACGGGGAGCGCATGTAGCCACCCCTGGGCAGCACAGGCTGGTGGGAACCTGGGGACCAGAGACAACACTGGTTAAAACAGATGGATATTTTCTTTGTTTTTGCTGGTTCTTTAAGGATAAAAGCACAGAAATGACAATTCTCTGGTATAATTTATAGAAACTATACTGGAGAAAGTTTAAGTGTTACGTTTATCATTTTAATTACACTGGCAATTATATGAGGAGCTCAACACAGGATGAAACTGAATCTTTATAGCATACTTTACACTAAAACTTGCTCTTCCATACAAAATAACCTTCATGAAATAAATGCTTCTTGACATTTATTGTTATTTACTGACTATATACTCGTGAAATGGAGGCACAATTATGGTATTAAACTTGCATTTATTATGTGTACTCAATTTAAAATCCAGTCAAACCACAAAACTCTGGAATACCTCTGAGGTTTATTTAGAGAAAATTAGTAAGTTGATGTAAGTTAAGAAAATTACTGAAGTTTTATCATGTAAAAACTCACATATTAGGCTGCTGAAAGCCTGCTGTCTCTCCCATCTAAACAACCTCTGCTTAAAAAACACCTTTTCAAGTTGAAAGACTCCAAAATTATTTATATTCAGTCATTCACACTGATGGTGCAGCCATATTGTGTCAAATGCAATAACAAGTGCTTTTTACAGTTTGGTGGAGGGTTATCCAGCAGATTGTTTAAGTCCCCCCAAACCCCCACCCCCCCCATTGAACTTTATGAAGCAAAGACAATAATATATGAAATCTGGTAAAGAGAAACAGAAACAGATTTGTAACTGGAAGGTGAGTCTACACTTTAATAACTCCAGGAGACTACAGGTTCAAAAAAACCCATTTTTTTTATCCTGTTTCATTTTTCTTCACATTTTTGCATCTAGGACAAAACAATAAAATTAAGACAAAAACATTAACAAAGCAAGGGCACGTCATATCTGACTTTTTCTTCAGATAAAGTCAAAGAAAATAATTTCATTCATTAAGCAATTAAAAAGTTGTAAATGCACAACCTGAAAGACACCAAGACTGGTCAGACATGGAGCTGAGTTTAAGGTTTTACTATCATTTTAAGCCACTTGGTGGTGATATCAACCCTTGGTAGATGACATCAAATCATCTACAAATGAGTAAAAGGGAGCTCATTCTCACAGCACATATTAGATTAATGCTTGGCTTTTTCTTTCCTGCTGCTCTGGTTTTATATCTCCTCAGAAACGCATAGTTTCCATCCATGAATTAAAGACTGAGAGCCGATGAAAAAGGAGCAGAGCTGCTGGATTAAGACAAATATTGATCTCAGATGATTGATTGCCTCCCTGTTGGACTTTAATGAGATGTCAACCTCTTCTGAAGTAGGAAGGACTCCGCAGTCGCGTGTGCCATGGAAGTAACCTCCCTGGTGTATTAATGTTACTAAATAAATATCTGCAGTTTGTGTAAAGTGAATGTTGCCTGTGTAATGCACACATGATAATTTTGCATGCTTTTCATTCCCTGTTTGAGTCTCTTTTAGCACTGGGGTTGCAGGAAAGATGGAAAGACAATTGGAAAATATTTCTGCATTACAATGGTAAAGATGATTTCCTTTTTGCCCCTTGTTCTCTTGCCAGGCACCAAGCTGTCTATGTCGCAACAGTGCTATAAATATATTCTTCTCTGCTTCTGTTAGTCAATTTGAATCACTTTGTGTTCCAGTTTTCCAACACTTTGTAAGGTACAGCTTGAAAGTTAGTATTTCTATGATTGTGGTTCAGCATATTGTGTTGCAGAACAGTAAACTATACATCACAATAAGCTGTAACATTAATTCAGTGTTTGTAAAAATTTACATGTGTGCATGTGTTTGTTTTTCCTGAGTTAAAGATCGAACAAAACAAACTAACATAACATTTCTTTTTTGTCTGCATATGTGTTCTTGCACAGCCCAAATAAAGCTAAAAACTAGGGCAACTAAGACAAGCATTTAATGATCTGTGAGGTCATTAAAGGCTTAGAACAGTGCTAAAAGCAGTCAGTTTGAATTGGAATCTGACCTTTTCTACAATCGGTGGTGCTTTTATAAACAGACTTGTGCTCCCAAAGGAGGAGCAAAGCCGAAAGGCTGAAGAGAGAAAGTAGCTCTTAACTATAGATTTGAAGGATACAATTTTTGTCTGCATTTTAAATGGTAGTATCAATGCACCTTTTTTATCAATGATGATTTAGCTGTTTGGAAAAAATATAGAAAGAATACAGTTCATAATTAAAGGAAGAGACCATTTTCAATGGATTATAGCTTCTCTTCATTGGCTCCCATTAAATCCGTCATACATCTGTAATAGTTCCCAACAGAGTCCTTCCCTCCCTGCAGGCGTACTAATGGCTATTAGAATTTAAAAGTAGAACAGCAGGCCGGTCTTCTAGTCATTATGCTTCTTCTTTTAAATTTTATCTCAAAATAGTGTTAATGTCTCAGTGGTCCTCTGTTCAGCTGTTTTCCTCACAGATCAAGCTACTAAAAGATTATACTGTCTTCGTAACCACAGTGTACTCTATTATTTTCTTCAATAAAAAAACTTGTTAACTGTGCTTTTTTTTTCTTTATGTCCTCTGAAACTCAATTTATTGAAGCAGATAGATTTGTTGATTCTATTCAATGTTTGTTTCTGCTAATAGTGGATTGTTTTTCTCCCATGTCACGCGTACTTGCCCCGTATAAATGACTGCTGCAAAGTCACAGATCTGGTGTAACTGTCTATGTTTCCCTAGACAGATCATTTTTCTGACCAGTTTACAAAATGTGCAGTTGGAAAATGAAATAAAAAACTTAATGAGGATGCAGCTGCACTTTCATTGAATCCAAATGTGAATATCTTATTGGCTTGTACTACTATTATTAGATCATTTTGGACTACATTGGATTCTGTGAAACTGCATAACTGTAAATTACAAGCCCCAGCTAACCAAAGGTCCGAGTGTGGTCTGAGGGTGGTCTGAGGGTGCCTTGGAGAAACTCCCAAACTGTTTTGAATGCTCTGACTGGAATATCTTCAAGGCTGCAGCAACCTATGACAACAAAATAAATATAGATGTTTATGCCATGACTGTTTCAGCCTACATCAACAAATGCATTGAGGATGTCAGCGTCACAAAGAACGTCACCATCCGAGCAACTAACGACCCTGGATAAATGGAGAGGTTCGGAAAACACTAAAAGCACGGAACTCATCCTTCAAGTTTGGTGATAAAGAGGCACTGAGAACAGCGCGTGCCAATTTAAACCGTGCCATCAGATCAGCAAAGCAGAACCAAAGCCAGAAAATCCAAAATCTTTTCCACGTCGCCAGAAACACCAGCAGGATATGGCAAGGCATATACCTCGCTGAACCAATCCATAGTGCCAGAATGCTTCAAGTCTGCCACCGTCATTCCGGTTCCAAAGAAGCCTCAGGTCAACTCACTCAATGATTACCAGCCTGTCGCACTCCCATCATGATCAAGTCCTTCGAAAGGCTGGTTAAAAAAACACATCATCTCCAGTCTCCCCCCAACATGCAACCCGTTCCAGTTTGCCTACTGACGGAACCACTCCACTGAGGATGCCATGTCCTCTTCTCTTCACCTCAGCCTGGCACACCTGGAGGAGAAGAACCGCCCACATGCGGATGCTGTTCCTGGACTTCAGTTCAGCTTTCAACACCAGCATCTGATAAGAAAACTGGAACAGCTGGGCTTCAATACACCCCTCTGTAATTGGCTGTTAGACTTCCTCACTAACAGACCTCAATCAGTCCAGCTCAGACAGAACACCTCTAATGTCATCAGTCTAAGCACAGACTCCCCTCAGGGCTGCATCCTGACCCCCCTGCTGTTAGCTCTAATGACACATGACTGCGTCCCCAAGTTCACCACCAATCGCATCGTGAAGTTTGCAGACACCACGGTGGTGGGCCTCATGAGAGACGACAACAACCTGGACAACAGAGAGGAGGTGGAGCAGCTGGTGGAAAGGTGCAAAGATAACAGCCTGATCCTGAACATGGAGAAAACAAAGATCATCGTTGACTTCAGTAGAAATTTGCCTAACCACGCTCCACTGCTCATCAACAGCTAAGCTGTAGAGATGGTCTACAGCACCAAATTCCTGGGGGTGCACATCACAGACACCCCCACCTGGACAGTAAACACCACCTCACTGGTCAAAAAGGCACAAAAGTGATTTGGTTTTTAAAAATGGCGCAACCCGGCACCGAATCGAGAAGGACGACCATGCAGAAAGCCGGAAAGGCATACCAAGGACCAATCACAGCTGCTTTTTGTCTGCGCACTTCCACTTGAGGTCTGCGCAGGTTTGCGACCATCCAATGTGTAGTCAGGGTTTTTTTGAGGTGTGCGACGACGGTTGCAGAGCCTCTGCGCGAGGGGCGTGGCCAGGCACAGAGACGGATTTGAGGGTTGCAGAGGCTATGCGTCAGAAGAATAAATTAGCCTTAAGATTGGAAGAAGGTGAAGAGTGTAGTGAGAACAGCAGAGAAGATTATCAGGGCTCCTCTTGCCTCCATAAAACACATTTCATCCCAGCGCTGCGTTTCCCAAGCCTGTAACGTTATAAATGACCCCTCACACCCCCAACATGCACTGTTCTCCCTGCTGCCCTCTGGGAAGAGACTACGAAGCATCCGATGAAGGTCCAGCAGATTCCAAACCAGTTTCTTCCAATGCCATTAGACTGATGAATGTTAAATAAAACGGGGGAAAAAAGCTGAATGTAGGAAAAATTGTAAATCATATCTAAGTGTAATGTTTACATTTGATCACTGCACTTTGAGAAATGGAAATGTCTTGAGAGCTGTACAAAAAGAAATTTCGTTTTGTAACCAATCTGTGTATACAAAATGAATGAAGTAAATCGTACCTAATCAAAACAGCTTTTAGATAACAAATAATTCAATTAAAAAAAAAAGCTTAGATACTTCTCAGTGGAAACACAATGACAGGGCCAGGAACCTGCTGCTGAATGGTTTTTCTAAATGCAGCCAAAC